TTTTTTTTTTTTTTTTTTTTTTTTTTTTTGTTTTTTGTTTTTTGTTTGCCTGTTATTATTCATGTGTTCTATGCACTGCAATAGGCTGTCAGTGTGTTCAGGCCCATAAACTAAGCATGGTTTATTTTGAGTCTCCAGGGCAACATGTATTCCCATGAGATTTGTAACAACAACCTTTTTTTTGTTTCCTTACAGGATACACAGCCTTCTCCCTTGGCTCTCCTTGCAGCAACATGCAGCAAGATTGGACCCCCTGCTGTAGAATCAGCTGAGACTCCTCCTGTACCATTACGAGCAGCCCGTAAAAGACTGATCCCTATAAAGCCTGCACCATTGCCAGTGAGTCCAGGGAAGGCTGCCATAGGCATTCTGTCTGCTAAAGGAAACGTCATCCAGATCCCACAGCTGGGTGCTAGTAATGGGCAGCTGTTCTTTACCATCCAGAACCCCGTGGGCAAAACTGGCCATTTTCAAAACATGCAGCCCACCACCACCCAGGGAATTCCACAGACAATGGGAACTCAGTTCCAGATTGTCAGTTCCACAGATGGTGGGGCAACTCTTCAGCTTGCTCCAGTCTCTAACTCTACCAAACATGTACCAATAAAGCCTGCTCCTCCACAAAAGTCCAACAATATGGTCAACATGACAGGAACTACTGCCAACAGCCTAACATTGTCATTGCCTTTCAATAGTCTACAAGACTCTTCCAATGATGTAGGCTCTCAATTTCTTGCAAGCAAACAGAGCAAAAAGGCACGCAAGAAACCTCTTCTAACACCTAGCTCTCCCACCCAGGAGCAGGTGGAGACTGTTGTGATAGAGACAACAGCAGACAACATCCTGCAAGCGGGTAACAACTTGGTGATTGTCCAGAGCCCAGGCACAGGGCAGCCGACCGTACTTCAGCTGGTACAGCCCAAGACGGACACTCAGATGGTGCAAATACCCCAACAAGCACTAAGGGTGGTTCAAGCAGCATCAGCCACTCTGCCAGCCGTGCCACAAAAAGTAGTACAAAATGTCCAGAGCACAGAGGTTGTACCCACACAGGTACTGATACAAACAAATGAATTGCATAATATATAATAATTTTTTTATTTCTTTCCCCTTTTTAATTTCTTTTTGAAGACAGGAAAGTTATCTGGGCTGATCTTGGCAAGCAAACATGTGTTGATTCCCTTAACACCTAAGAATTATGCAATTCATAAATAATGTTCTGGCTTTATAAATTGCTAGATTCTCTGCAGATTGGATGAATCCACATACTTAATTAAAGGGGAGAGTTAAAGTGACATTAAAGTCTCAATTTAGTTTTTTAACATATCTACTGCTAGCAAGCAGTAGATGTATGCAAAAACATTAAAAAAAAAAAAAAGTTGCCTGTCTTCGCTGCTCGCTCCCGGCTGCAGAATCCAGCTTAAAGCGGCTGCGCAGGAGGATGTGTGCGGCACATGCGTGGTGGAGATCACCGGTGAGGAGTGAAGGAGAGCTACTATGTAAGACAATGCACGCAGGACAGACTTCGTGGGACAGAAAGAGACTGCAGTCTGCACTGGATCAAAGACCGGCACCAGCGCTGGAGAGACTGTTGAAAACGGCTGAAAGGTAGATGTTTGGATCAAGAGGCATCACTTAAGGTAAGTCCTTAAAGCAGCATTGGGGGGGGGAATTTTACTTTTAATGTCACTTTAAGACTTTAATCATAATGTGAAAGTATTCATAGTATATTAGCACATTATGGCAGACTTACCTGCCAATGTGATCTATCCCCTCCAGCGCTGCAATGTTAGTGCTCCTCACACCAGCACTTCCATCTTCTGAGTCAAAATCTGAGTCCTAAGTCTTTGGCAGCTTGATTGGCCAGGCCCATATGACAAAACTCCTGCATATGCGCACAGGAGTTACTTCGTCTTGGCAAGGGAAAAAAAATGCCGACAGGCAGATGGGACGAAGCCTTCAGCACGTTTTAAATATTTAGTTTTTTCCCGCTTTAAGAAAACTAGTGTCTTCACATTTCACTGATTCATACATCTGTACTGTAGTAATATCCAGTTAGTTTTGGCTCTGTGGATGTTGGGCCTTTTTACCAGTGCTTCTGACAACTGAATGCTTTTCATATGATAAGATTGTAAGAAATGATCTGCAAACATAGAATTAGAACAAAGAAGTGTGGAAGAGACAGTGGCCACTGTAACCAATTAGATTTTGTCATTCATCATCGTCATTCTAATTAGAACTCGTGTTTCCAGAGCCTTATATGCATGGGACTCTATACTTTTGTCTTATCAAGTCTAGCTTTAAAGGCCATCTGTGGGAAAGGCGGAACTCCCATCCTTTTCCCCGCAATACCTTGTGACACTTTTATGCACATCCAAGTCCACTGTCCGCATTCCTGGCCAATGCAGCTTCTAGATCTGCCGATTGGTGATCCAGTGCCACAGTCTGTGCCCATGTTGAATGGTCACTCTTCCTGACATCCTCATGCTGTTAGGTCTTCTGAAGCCTGAGTGGTCCCCGCCGTTGGACAACGTCTTCCAGGCAGCGACCGAGACACCAAGAAAGATCTCTTCTCATTTGCATGGTAGATGTGGGACCTGATGTATCATGTGACCACAGATTGGGGCTTTTAGTTTTAGGATTTTTTAACATTCATAAGATAACTAGTATGTAGGAATATTCCATAGCTGCACAGAAAATAGGAAATTTTGACTGGTGCATATGGATATGAAATATTTATAAAGTGTGTTCGAAAAAGGATGAAGCCACTTTGACGTAATAACCATAGTTAATTAGTTAATAAGTTATTAGTTAATAACCGTAGTTCTATATGAGCCCAGTTGGCATCTTTTAGCTTCTTATTTCAAGTGAGGGCATTTTTTTTTTTATTTCATTTGATTTTAAGTTCAAATTACCTAAACTCAAATGTTGGGTACATGGTTGGGTGATTTCTGCTAAAAAGGAGGATATGCCACTCTGGTTGTTGATCATCCCATTCAACAGAGATCACATGATAAAATACCAGGGCTTCTTGTTATGAGCAGGAAAATTTGTTAACCTATCCTAAAAAGTATGTCTGCCTTTAGCAGTACTTTTCCAGTAGGACAGTAGGTTTCCCTGTTTGCCCACCCAGTACACAAAGTCAATGTTTAATCTTTATTAGGGATGCACCTATATATGCCGAAAGTGCAATTTTCCTGCCGATACATCGGCGCATCCCTGCTTTCTTTCCACTCCGCTGGGCGCTGCTCTGTGTCCCAACGGGGAGGAGAGAAAGTGTGATAGCAGGCAGAGTGCTGCGGGAGGAGAGCGCTGTGAGCGGCCGGCGTCTTCTCCCACACGGCTCAGCCTCCTATCACAGTCTGGCAGAGTGGTGTGTGGGGGTGGAGACAGGCCGCGCTGTCAAAGGAGGTGGAGCTCTCCTCCCTACACAGCTCGATCAGCCTCCTATGACAGCATGTCAGAGAGGAGAGCAAGTGCCAACACTCAGCGATCAGTGATCGCTGAGTGTTTGTAGATAATTGAGGATACGGTATGTGTACTATATCCTCAATTATGAATGAATGGGAAGTGATCTACATCACCTCCTGTTCATTCATAGTTATAGTAAACACATGTTATCAATGAACAGGAACACTCCTAGAGGATTCTTGTTCATTTATAACAGGGGATACAGAAAAATAGAATGAGGACTTTGTGTCCTCCAATCTCTTTTTCTATTTTAAAAGGGGAAATATCAGAGGTCTGTTTTAGACCTAATATTTCTCCTAAGCAACTAAAAAATATTTAATAAAAAAAATAAAGCTTATAATAAAATATTTAAAAAATGTAAAAAAAATAAACATTTTCGGTATCGTTTTGGTGCACCTCTAATTTTTATGCATCCTATAAACCTCAATGCTGCCCCTGTTGATACATAGGCGGTATCCACTATTGAGACAGGCGGTTGGTTTTAGTTTTCACATTGGTTATATGTACACTCTTACCATCTGATTATGGTATTTCCTGTACTTCCTCTTTTAAAACCTATTGAATAGAAATGCCAGTGCAGTACCAACACCCCTGAAAGAACCGTTTTTTGGAAAATAGACCTACTCTGGTGAGGTATTGCCACTTTTTTTTTTGCTAATAAGCAAGCATGCTGGAATTGAGATGGTTAAAACATGTAGCTTTATAATTTTACACTAGAGACAGCATATCATTAAAGTACGGGTCTTACACAGAGGGAGGAAGTGGCAAAGGGGTTAAAGTGACACTAAACTCAGGAGTTAAATCTTAAAAATGCATTCAAGTACCCCAGCTATTAATAAAAATTTATCTTATTTGTGTATCACTCAGCTGTAGATCCTCAAATCATCTCTAAATTTAGTGCTGACGCTGTCCTCCCTTCTGGAGGGTGGATACTTTTTGTTCCCCCATGGTCCCTGTGTGTGTTGTAAAGTAGTCACCACTTCAAGCTCACTCCCATGGTGGACTACAATATCGATACAAATTGGTAAACTAAACGTGATATTGTAGTCCTTTACGAGAGTGAAGATGGAGGTGAGTGGGTTAATGTTCAGGATAAGGGCCCATTCACACCACATCCAGACCAGATTGTTTTCAGACCCAAAATGCGTCCTAATGTATCCCTATGTTATTTCCAGATCTAGTCTGGAAAATGGTGTGAACCTGCCCTGAGGGAACTAAAGGCATAAGCTGGTCACTTTCAGGGACAGGATGAAGATTAGATGTATAGAGGCAAAGCAGTGAAATGATCCTGCAATCAAATTAATTAAAATCCCCTACCTTGAACTTGCTGCTTCCAACGAGCCTTCCATTTATTAGATATTCCTGCCTCCCCTTCCTATGTTGTGAGGGGCTCTCAAATGTAAACACATGCAGTGCAGTCACAGTAATCACAAGGCACAGAGCCAGTCGGATTGTCTCTGAGTATTTTGCATGTATTCTGCAAAAAGAGTGCCACTTTTTTTTCCGTGCAGTGGGACTAAGGTGGTTAAAGAGGGTTTTCGGTTGAAAAACATCCATTAAATACTATGTTCCTTGAACCTCAGCTGAATGGAAGAGTTGCAATACCAAATTACACCAGTGAATGAAAATCTCTTTTAGCAATTCCTTTCCATTTGTACACAGAAAAGTCAAAAGCGGAGGTGGGACTGCCTTTTAAAGGGGGGGATTCCCGGCAGGGAGTGATGACTGACAGTCACTGCTCTGCCGGAAGAAGACCTTGAGCTGAGCAGTTCGTGATCTCTCAACTCTCGAGTCAGCATGTGACAGCTGCAGTTTTACACTCCGGCTCTAAGTATTGGGAAGCGTAAATTAAACCTGACATAATGGTTGGTCATTTCATTAAAAGTTTCAGGAGCTGACTGTATTTGAGATAATGCTCTTTATTAATATTAATTAATAATTATTAATAATATTCTGCATACAGATCTTTTGAGCAACACTATTTAACTAAATTGTGCAGCTTAACTATCATGGTAATCGTTAGGGATGCACCGAAACATCGGGCGAAAATGGCACATTTGGCAAAATGCCTTTTTTTTTTGTGCCCGAAATAGCAGTGCATCCTCTCCTTTTAGCGCTGCTCTATGTCCCAGCAGGGAGGAGAGAAACTGTCACAGGAGGCCAAGCCGGTGCGGGGGAGGAGAGCGCTGTGTACGGCCGGCGTCTCTCTTCCCACATCGCTCAGCCTCCTGTGACAGATCTTGAGAGCGGTGTGTGGGCGGAGACTGCTGTCAGAGGAGGCTGAGTTCTGCTTGCGCACTGCCGCGCTCAGCCTCCTGTGACAGATCACAAGAGCGGCAGTGAGGGGGCAGAGACAGCTGTCACAGGAGGCAGGGTGGTGGTGTGGGGGAGGAGTCAGCTGTCAGAGATCAAGCTCAGCCTCCTGTGACAGCAAGTCAGGATGGAGAGCGGGTACAAGCATTCAGTGATTAGTGATCGTTGAGTGTTTGTAAATAATTCAGGACATAGTATGTTAACTGTGTCCCCAATTATGAATGAATGGGAAGTGATCTACATCACTTCCTGTTCATTCATGATTGTGGATGTAGTAAACATACTGTCGCCACATGTTATGAGTGAACAGGAACACTCAGCATAGAGGCTTCCTGTTTATTTATAACAGGGGCTGCAGAAAAAGATTGAGGGCTCTGTGTTCTAAATTTTTTTTTCCATTTTAAAAGGCAAATATCAGCGGTCTGTTTAAACCCCCAAAATTTCCCCAGAGCCCCCAACAGTAAAGTATAAAAATAACAAAAGAAAATATTTTAGAAAATGTAAAAAGGTTAGAAAAAAAAAAACATTTTGGAGATATATATATATATATATATATATACATACATATACATATACACATACACATACACATACACGTATATATGTGTGTGTGTTTTTAACTTTCGGTTTTGAAAATTTTATTTCGGCGCACCTCCTAGTAAGCGCTTATGTATTATGGTGAAGCGGAACATACAAGGTGCAGTAGTCTGCAGCAAACAGTTGCGATGTGAAAAACTGTTGGTAGATCTAGAGACAGGCAGCAGAGATTATATGCAAGTCTTCACTTTGAGCTTACCCTGCCCTTTAGCTCTGCTGAATTCTCTCCATGGGCCCTTTTTAATATGATTATTGACCAATGAGAGGCGGAAGAAGGAATCTATGGTTCCGTTTTGCATTAAAGTTTTTGGCTACTTTTGTCTTGGTCACTGTGTGTAATGGTCACTTTGTGAAAAAAATTGTTTTTTACTGAAGATGTTGTTTTTTGTTATTCATTGTCTTCATTTCTTGAGAGGATTCTCTGTTTTCTCAGTTTTTCCTCTCTTGTCCTTATCGTGTATCCTTCTTTTTTTTTTTTTCTTTTTTTTGCACCTAGCTTTGTAATGAGTGCATACATTTAATACCTCCACATGTTCTTTCCTTTTCACAGATATACTTCCGCACATCTACGGGAGAACTACAGACTTTGTTACCACAAGATGTTACCTCTATGCCTCAGCCCAGAGCTTTAGGAGGGACCAGTACCCTTGCAACACAACCTGGCAAGAAGAACATCAGTCGCAAGGAACGGTCTCTACCCAAAATAGCTCCAGCAGGAAGTGTCATTAATCTGAATGCAGCACAGCTGGCAGCCACTGCCCAAGCAATACAAACTATTAGCATCAATGGAGTCTCAGTGCAAGGGGTGCCTGTTACCATCACCAATTCTACAGGTGTATATCCCAATATGATTATGTAATGTGACATAAGCATTGTACAGTTAGGCCAATAAAAGTAAATTTAAGATTAATTTAACTTGCTTTTTGCCTTTTGTTACATAAACCAACCCACTCCTGTGTTTATGTGTCTACTCAGGGCAACCACAGCTCACTGTCCAGAATGTGTCCAGTAATAACGTGGCAATCAGTGGTCTCAGCCCTTCCCAGATACAGCTGCAGATGGAACAGGCCTTGTCTGGGGAGATTCAGCCAGGAGTGAAGAGGAGGAGGGTTGCCTGTACATGTCCGAACTGCAAGGACGGGGAGAAGGGGTGAGAGTGAGCAGGATGCTGGGCCTGGGTGGGGGAGGGTTAATGTACAGGGTCGATGTTTTTGGCTGAGGAGAGACACTGTCACTCTCAGCAGGTGGGGACCTCCTGGCAGGAAGAGGCACGTGTGTCACATTCCTGAGTGCGGCCGAATGTTTCGCAAGACGTCACTCTTGAGAGCCCATGTCCGTCTTCACACAGGGGAGAGGCCATTTGTGTGCAACTGGGGATTCTGTACAAAGAGGTTCACCCGAAGTGATGAGCTGCAGAGGCACGCACGCACGCACACAGGTGTGTGAGGCATGTATGCAAAAAAAATGCACATGTAAGACGAACTGGCCCTCGGGTATGACATGTATTGATTTTTTTACTCTGCTGTCCCTGTACAGGTGACAAGCGCTTCGAATGTCCTCATTGTCAGAAGAGGTTTACTCGGAGCGACCACGTCAGCAAGCACTTCAAGACACACCTTGTGCCAAAGAAGCTGTAAGGCTTAGTGGAAAACGCACCCTAACTATATAGGACCCGAACACAATGCCATTGTGCTCCAGCTGGGAACCCCATCCAGAAATGTGGGGGGCCACAGTATAGTAGCATTACTTATGTGGAACCAGCCTGAAATTCCTGGTAGTAACAAGTGCAACTCTGTAGTAGCCTATGTATCGCTGAAGTGTGCTAGAGTGTTTGACAGTCATATGGCGTTCCTGCTGGGAACAAATTGTGGCTGTGTGACTAGAGGGTCACTTTCTACCTGGTAAAATGTAAGGGTAATGTATTTACCAGCACATTATATGCTGATGGGCTTGAAGGGAGAGGGTGTGTTACCTGACGCCAACCTGTTGGCTGGTCCAGAACATTCCCATTTTTTTATACTGCTCTCCCCATGCAGGAAGGTGCCTTATTACCTCCCCTCCTCCAGTAACCCCGAGCATACAAGCTTAATTACACTTCCGCTAATATGCTTTTCACGCTGTTTGGAGGACGCGGCTGTGCTGCACTCACATCTGCTGTGCCAGTTCAGGACTCTTTCCCTGTAGACATGTTCCTACTGGGCATGTTCATCAGAAGAATCCTTGTTCCTTTCTGTGCAGTGTGTACTACACATGTTGTATTTACATTGTTAGCTTTCACAAGGCTTTTAATTTAAATAAAAAAAGAGGCAATTTACTTTGTTTGGTATGTGTGCTATGGGATGAAGAGGTTTTAGGTTTTCTTTACTAAAACTAAATTCTCTGACAAGAAATTGCTGTCTCCATCTGAATTGTCTGCTGTTCTTCAGTCTTTCCAACCTGGAGTATGCACCAGGACATTTAGGGATAACGGATACAGTAATGGCGCCACCCAATGATTGCTTCCTAGAATGCAGACTGTCAGTATAGGGTCTTACATTTGCATGGTGTGGTCAGCCCACCCACACCATGGAAATGCATGATAATGATCCAGGGCAAACAGCATTTGTCACTTACAGTGGGGCAAAAAAGTATTTAGTCAGCCACCAATTGTGCAAGTTCTCCCACTTAAAAAGATGAGAGAGGCCTGTAATTGGCATCATAGGTAGACCTCAACTATGAGAGACAAAATGAGAAATCAAATCCAGACAAATCATATTGGCTGATTTGGAACGAATATATTTGCAAATTATGGTGGAAAATAAGTATTTGGTCAATATCAAAAGGTCATCTTAATACTTTGTTATATATCCTTTGTTGGCAATGACAGAGGTCAAACGTGCCCTGTACGTCTTTACAAGGTTGGCACACACTGTTGCTTGTAATCACAATTGGTGGCTGACTAAATACTTTTTTGCCCCACTGTATGAGTGCTCCTTGCTCCTCTTGTAATTCCTTCTCAGTGTAATTACTCATCCACTCGTCCCAGCCGAACTCTCTGTAGACTGAGTTCTCTACTCCCTGCAGACATTAAGCACAGGCTTCCTGTAGGAGAGCAGCTCAAACCTAAATGTTATGGACATTGGCTAGAGAGGAGGAGTAGTAGTAGTCTTTTCATATGCCCTCTCTCCTTTCCCAGCTGGCCTTGCTGGTAGAGAGTGAGTGAGCTATAGCAGACTTGTCAATGCCTGGTGAGCTGAGGAACAATGCTAGCAGAGAGATGAGAGGGAATGGAGCTGAGCAGATGTTAGAGCCATTTATCCCTTTAAATAGTTTGGCGCTATGTATGCCGCTATTGGCCCCACTCCACTCTCTACAATTTTTTTAGAAATGGGCAGACCAGTATGCAAGTGAAAAAATGTGGGGAACTACTGGTCTGTCTGAACTCTTTACTTCCATACATGCCCAACATGGTTTTCCATTGATTAAGGTCTATTTCTTAAGGCAAAGTGGAGGCCTGATGATGTGCAATAATTACTGATCTGACTGTACTGAAATCTGGTTGTTCAAAGTTACTGCAATTTGCACAAGACTCTTTAGCTTATTGACTAAGGGCTAAACTGCATGGTTCATTTTAACATCATGATAATGAGTCAATGAAGGCGAGTCTGTCACTACAGTGTAAACAAAAAAACCTGCACCCTGCAATAGATTTAATACTTACCTTTCCGTCGGGCATTGTGCCAAATATTTGTTTTCATTAAGAAGATGCCACTGGTATCTGACACTTCCTGCTGTGTTGGTCATCTAGTTCCCTGTTAGGCCCTGGGCTTCCCTCCCATCAGCTGCTAAATTACTGTGTCCTATAGGGATGTAGAGGCTGGCAGGAGGAAGTGGTTATGCGGTAGCAAGAGATTAAAATTGCCTGTGTACTCCATGTTCCATGGGCCACGCTAGAGACGAAAGAGCTTTATGATGCTGGACATCTTCCAAACAGGGATGTGGGCTCTGTCTGATTTGGCTGCAGCTTCTATTGGAAAGCTTACCATGTATAGTAAAGTCCGAGTAAGCAATTTTAGTACAAGAGAGAAGTCTGTACAACTGTGCATGACTCGCAGGTTTCAGAAGCAGTGCTTTAGCCCAATCTGTACTGACCTTTGTACCATTCAATTTAGTTTTCCTGCCTGCATAAACCTTATAAGCTGACGAGTGTCAGGAACATTTGGTTACATTTTTCCAGATTACAGTTCTCCTGGCAATGTTTAGAATTGATTTATAAATGTGTTTACTAGTGGTGAGCCCCAAACACATTTATTCATCAGTGGCCTTATGGGCTTTGTTGAAGATGGTTGCCAGCATACTGTTTACAGCAGGGGTCTCATACTCAAATGACCTGGGGGCCGCTGGGCAGGTTTTCTTCTTCCATGGGGGCCGCATGAGGACAGACAGCCAGGAGAGAGAGTGAGAAGAGACTGCGAGGACAGAGAGTGAGGAGTAACAGCCAGGGGAGAGAGTGAGGAGAGATAGCGAGCAACACATCTGCCTGAAGCAGAACCCCTTTTCCCTTCAAGACTTACCTCATTGCTCCCTGAGTTCCAGCGTCCCTCCTCCATGCACTCCTGAAACACCAGGACCCCATGGTTGCTCCTGTCTGCCTGACAGCGTGACATCTTGTGTCCAGGTTTCAGCTAGCCTGAAACCCAGACACTGCACATACAAGACTTGAATCCCCGACAGGTGGCAACCCTAGCTACAACTCAGACTGCTGCAAAAATTAAAAGCCTCCTCTCTGTCCCTGGGCCCCAATGCTGACCTGACGGGTCCCAGGCCCTGTACAGGAGGGCCAGCTCTACCCCCTATTCACGGCACTGCCTGTGGGCCAAAAGTAGCTGATCTGCGACCTCTAGTTTCAAGTGACACTTCACTCAGGAGTTAAATCATAAAAATTCATTCATGAACCTTAAAGTGACATTAAACCCTCAGATTTTTTAACATAAACCAATACTGTAATGTGTGCCTTACTGTAATCCATGGCAGTTTCCCTTCTCTTTGCTGCTCTTCCTTTTAAATCTGTATCTGTTTGTCATGCTGGGCAGAACTTCTGTTTTGCAGCAGACTGCCTTGTCTCTGGATACATGGTGTCTGTGTATAGGTTCACAACCTAAGCCAGCACTACAGGAAGAGGCACTCAGCTGCAAAGGGAAGTTCTCCCCAAGCATGAGAAGACATGAGGATTTAAAAGGAAGAGCAGCACAGAGAAGGGGAACTAGCATGGATTACAGTAAGGCGCACATTACAGTATTGGTTTATGTTAAAAAATCTGAGGGTTTAATGTCACTTTAACTATTACCAAAAATGTATCTTATTTGTATATCACCCAGCTGTAGATCCTCAAATCATCTCTGCTGACATTGTCCTTCCTTCTGGAGGGTGGCTACTTTTGTTCTCCATGGTCCCTGTGTGTGTTGTAACGTAGTCACCGCTCCAAGCTCCCTCCTGTGACATACTACAATTGCAATACAAATTAGTAAACTAAACATGAGATTGTAGTTCATCAAAGGAGCAAGCTTGGAGCGGTGGCTACGTTACAACACACACATGGACCATGGGGAACAAAAGTAGCCACCCTCCAGAAGGAAGGACAGTGTCAGCAGACGGTGGCTACGTTACAACACACACATGGACCATGGGGAACAAAAGTAGCCACCCTCCAGAAGGAAGGACAGTGTCAGCAGAGATGATTTGAGGATCTAAAGCTGGGTGATATACACATAAGATACATTTTAGTTAATTATTGTCCACTTCATGGGCAGAAAGAGCTGGGGCATCAGTGGAGCAGATCTGCAGGGCAGCTATCTGGTCAAAGCAGGACACTTTCATCAAACACTACCGAATTGAAGTCCTGTCCCAGCAAGATCTGGCCTTTGGCAGAAAGGTGCTTCAAGCAATTGTCCCGCCCTAGAGAGGTAGGCTTGTATTTTGTGTACTTGTTTATCCTCTCAGGTTGCTGTCCTGGAAGATGATTGGGGAAATGTTCCGTTAGACTTACCGGTAACGGTATTTCTAGGAATCTTCCAGGACAGCAAGCCTACTTCCCACCCGGAATGATGTATGGTATGTTATTTATTGTTGGGTTGTCCCCTCGTTTACTGGGGTGGTAGTCTACTTTTATCACAACTGAGGTACGAGGGGAAGGGGAGGGGCTTTTAACTGTTTTGCTAATTGTGTTTCCTGTAGAAGGTGGAACCAATCATCTCTCAGGTTGCTGTCCTGGAAGATTCCTAGAAATACCGTTACCGGTAAGTCTAACGGAACATTTCCTGAGCAACATTCTGGAGCTAACAGGTCAGCAGCATCTGCAGAAAAACAGGCCACGGAAATCTGCCATGAGACAATTGTTTTTTTTGATAGAGCGAGTGGCAACTCAATTTTGGATTTACCTTCTACTTTTAGTCCTGGTGAAAAAGTTCACTAGATCTCCCTATCCAAATCTGTCAGGGCTAATAATTCTTCCACATAAAATCCATAACTTGGAAAAATGTTTTGGTTTTAGATAAGCTTTAAAAGACTCCAATGGAGGGAGATATCTTCATCAGAATTCCCAGTTATGCCTAATAGCCACAGTCATTGCAAGGATAAATAATGGTGTCATTCCTCTTCTGGTGCATTTTCTGTAATGAAAAATGGGGGCAGATAGCCTTTTGTGAAATATTGCCACTGGAGTCTCTCAAGATGTATTATTCAGTACATACCGGTAACTAAAACGTAATCTTCATGTCCATCAAATAATAATTATCAGGGGTGTACCAGAAAGGAATACCTTAACACAGTTGCAGTAGAACCCTGGGATAATCATGTTATCTGTGTTATGTGCCCCCAAGTCACATCTAATATGTGGCTAACGCAGTACAATATCCAAGTATTGGGAGCAAGTCACACTCCTTTTGCTGCTGTTCAGAGCACTTTATATTAATAGTCCTATAACTTTATTAAATGGAATCATTCAATCAATATGCTTAGGCTGAAGTGGATGGACCCGTGCCTTTATTCAACCTTACCTACTACCTAATAAATTACATAACAAAAGTTATAATTAAAGCCGACCTTCCATTTAAGTGCCTTGTTTTGCCATTTAGTAGCCCCTACGTATATAAGCGGACTAAAAATTAAATAAAAAAACATCACCAGTAAAAAAGAAAAAAAAGATACTTACGGTACCGTGCATGGTATCCTCAGCTTTTCCAGAATCCCACAGAAATTGCAAGTGATGTCACTGGTGCCTATACAAGCAGGCCAGAAACTGGGATCTAAGGTAAGTGTCTCTTTTAATGATTTTCTTGGGCTTTAAACACCACATAAAACAAATGTGAAGTTCTTTACAAATCATTTTATGCATTTTAGTTTGGAATTTTCCATTTTCCATTTGGTATGAATAGTGTTTTAGCTAACACACTTTGCATATGTATGTTAGATCATTTTATCATACATAGAGTTCCACTACATATATAATTCCTCTGGGAAACTTCAACAGAAAAAAAACATAAATGCACTTACTTTCCACCATGCCTCAGGGATTGTTCTTGTGTAGCCCATTGGGTGCCACACAGCAACTTATTTAAAAGCTCCAGTGTAGTGTTATTGTTTTTACATGCACACTTCAATTTCCATTTATTCCTACGGTCAGGCTGTTTTTATTCATCCCAATGGTGGGCAGCCATTTCAAAGGAATGAATGGAGGATGCAGCATAAATGTGCAGAAGAGGAGGAGCCCAGATAGGGAAAATGTTGGGGGTTGGAGGGTGATTTTCAAAGGATAAGTGTACTAATTGTTATTGTGCAGGAGTGTGAATAAGCCCCCAGACTACTGTAAGCTTTTAGAAACCAACTGACACCTGATTTCAAAGTCTGAACATTGAGTGTGAATTACTCCAGAGTGAATGCGGCTGTAAAGGTAAATTAAAGTTTGTTTTAGGATTATTTTACTGTTTAAGAATATGTAAGTACTTTGATATCTATAGTATGAGCACTTCACATACAAATCTGCAAGTCAGTGTTAGGTAAATGGGGTGGGCAGTGGCTGTGTGTTCCCCAGCATTGCATCTGACATAACCAGTCACACTCAGGAAGTGATGCGGGAGCTTTTCTATTTAATCTAGCAGCACCAGTCCCTTCTGCAGGTTTCAAGGACCTCCTTCATCTATTGGCAGCCTCCTCTCCCACGTCCTTTAATTTCAGGTATGACTATTTCATTTATCTCAAACTTTTCCTTTCGTTATCACAACAATGTTGTATATATTCTATTGCGCAAAGGCTATAGAACAATCCTATTTTTTCAGCATGTATTGGAATTTACACCGTTTAATGTCTAAATGTACCTTGACATTAAAGCATAGAAGAAATTAACAATATGAGATAAAAATAAAATCATGGAGTCCATTTGTTTAACAAAATCTAATTTGCATTGACTCCTGAAAGTAGCCACTTGCACAGATATAACAGCCAAACATTTCTAGAACTGAAATGAAAGATTTGGTCATTTCACAACACGGTTGCAGATTTCCCTCAAATGTTTTGCACTTGTAGGTTGCTTTGCTTTCACTCTACTGTCCAGTTCATCCCAAACCAGCTTGATTAGGTTTCAGTGTGGACACTCTGCTTGTCATTCCATGATTTGAAGCCTACCATCTTGTTCTTTTTTTCCAACATAGTTGTAATTTGAGCCCGATATATTTTGGACCCCTATTTTGCGGTACAATGAACACCTGACCAACTAGGAGTAGGGTGCCAATCACTTTGTGACTCTGGATACAGAAGAAAAAAAAGTCCCTGACCTCATGCTTCATGTTTGAGAATTGCTGTCACACACAGAGGAACCATTCTTCCACCTTCTCGAAGGTATACAAAACCATGCATGATAAACCAAAGATTACAAATTTAGATTCTCGGTCCATAAGACCTTATTCCAGTTTTCAGTATTCCACTGGTGGCGGCTCCTGGACCAGACAAGCCTCTTTTGTATTTTTTTTAATGTACTTTTAATAACCTAAACTTTTTTTTTTTTTTAACCTCAGGGAGTTTACCGTTTACAATTGTACTATTTCAGGCTATCCCAGGACTTAAACTGTTAAAATTTGAATAAGAAAAAACAAAATAAAAAACCCTCTTGATCTTTCTTATATGTGTATATTAATTAGAATAATCGGTAATATGCTGCATACCTTTAAAGGTGAGAGGGACAAAGTAAGTGTGGCCTTATATTATGTTCTTTTGTATCAGCTCAGTGGGATTGTTTATTTTCTGGGGTTTAGACAGGATGTGACTTCATTAGTGAAGTCACTGATGGTTTAATTGTTCTTTTTGCATTGGTTACCATTTCTTTAAATGCTTAACATTTCTTTATAAATGTATCACATTAACCGATAAAGGGAACCTATATAGTCCTAAAATGTTGGAATAAACTGTGATATATATAGATTTACAAGAAATACTATTCTTTTTGCAGGAGGAAGGTGTGCTGGTGAAGATTTTGTTTATGTAAGGGCCATCAACAGAGTTGGTTTACTCTGGTCAGATCACATTATCAAACAAATAGACTCTACAATTAGATGTAACTATGGTGGGACTTTAAAAATGACTACTACTTTCTAGCGATGGTCATGCTTAGAACCAGGGCTGGGATGAGGGGGGTAGGCAGAAGAGGCATTTTAGCAGTAGGGTGCCTAAAGGGCAAGACCTAAAACCTAGGTGCACTTTGGTCTTTTTGCCTTGGGTGCTAAAGGACCTTGTCCCAGCACTGCTTAGAACAGGGAAGGTAGATGGTTCCAAAAGCAGGACTGGGTTGCCATACCACAGAGGACCAAGGGTTTTGGAGAGTAAGACCACTCAAGATGTATATCAGTTTTACTCTGGTCTTTCCAAATATATAGACAGTTAAAGAAGCCATGGATTGGGAACACGTTTCTGCACATCCCCACCATGAATATCTGAAATGTATAAGCAATATTTATTTTTTCCCTTAATGCCTGAAATTATGGAAGAAATTTTTTTTTTGCATCGCACCACGCTGTGCCATAAAAATTCTGCATGCCACAATGCGGTGGTATGAACATCTCTAATGAAAAGAAGGTAAATTGTCGTGTCTTTCCAGTTTTGTTTTTTTTTTTGCAAAAAGTTTAAAGCCATATAAAAGTTGACCATTGAAACACACCCCCGGCAGTGTTATTTGGTTCATCCCAACCCCTGTAATTGCCACTTTTGCTGGACAGCCTAGCCTGCTATATAGTAAGTAGAAAATAACTGATCTACTGGCAGGTAATGAAACTGTTACAGGTGAATACTCAAAAAACACTATTTCCAGAGAGTGGTACCCAAGAGCACAGATGTTCTCAGGATTACATGGCAATTCATATTTATATATGGCTTCCCTCCATTCCTGCTATAATCTTCAGAGTTCTGCGGAAAATCTAGAGAGTGGTTTTATTTCTGTTTTGGCCATGCAGACAACGATCCCCTATTCTGTGGAAATTAAATTGGACTCGTACAACTGCCTCCAAAGAGGATCTGTTACAGCAGAGGGATACTTCGTTTAATAGCCTGGATGTTAAGTGCCAAAACTTAGGTTGCAATCGAAATGCTAATTGAAGCAAGGACATCTCTACCAATAGAACCTATCCCACATTTGACAAAAATTATTATTTTTTTTTATTACAGGGAACCATTAGATTAGTTAGCACAATTTTGGCAAAGGTTCTGTAAACATCTGATTCCACCCAAACTTAGGAAGGTATTATAGTCAAGCAAGTCTCCACCTAGAATCTTTCAGCAAATGTTTTTCAATGCCACAGTTCATTCTGTGGTCAGTCTGAATGAGCACTAACCTTTCAACATTTTATACAGCATTTTGTTTTGTTGTTGTGGCAGCACATGTTCCTTTGCTTCCAGACTAGTCTACCTCCTAGATTAAGTGCTTGCAGCACAATGAGAAGTTAGCACATGAAGCATGTTTATTTCAACAACTGCAGCATTTTACTCAAACTTAAAAAAAAATATTTTTATTTATCTTTTTATGCCATCGCCTTTTGTCCTTTTACACTTGCATTAGTATATGCTGCATTAGAAATGTCTTTTCCCCCCATACTGCGGTCAGAAATCATCCAAATGTGCTATAGTCTGAATCATGACAAGTCCTTGCATGCAGCAGCAATACTCAGCTGGTTTGTAGCACATTATGTGAGACTGGTTGATCTGTTCCCTTTGTACCAGGCAGTGGGGCCTTTTCACTGAGACACTGTAGTTTCTGTGTTGGTGATGTTGCTGGTTTTGGGCAGTGTTTTGCTCCTCCTTCTGTCCAGTCAATGCGAATAGACATCTTTTTTACAGCCCGTCGAGAGGTTCCGCACTTGCTGTTTATAACTGCGTTAAAGTTACAGCCACGACCACAGGCTCTTGTCACATATGCTGAAAAAGGGAAAGAGGTAAATTAAAAAGATTCAAGTGAGATTCCACATTTATTTTAAGAACATAACTATATTCTTTCCAGTGGCTTATACAATTTTATCTATACACCTGTAAAATTGTCTCAGGCTTTAATGATTTCTACTATGCTAGCAAGTGTGTGTTTGTATACGTTAAATTAATTTTCCTCATCCATTGAGGAACACAGGAATTCAGATACTGTTGGGTAATACTGCTGTCTACAGGAGGATTGCACATTGGCAAACAAAGATTGAAGACAAGCCCTCGATAACCCCTCCTTTACCCATTAGACCTCAGACCCTAATCTATTAAACCATTGCAGAAAGGATCTGTCCACTGCCCTTTGTAATGGAGCTTGTGGCACAGATGTCTGGAGCCTTACACTTCAGTTGTGCTGACTTGTTAGATGCGTCTAAACTTGTGTCCCACCTCCAAGAGACATCTCTTTGGATCTATACTTAATATTATTATCAAGAATTCCACAGGTTAACAGAGTTCTCACCTGCCTCAACGTAAGGGGTTCAAGGACAAGTCAGCTGAGCCCCAAACTTCATCTTCTTCTGCAGTGGCCTCCCAGGTCTCAGAGCCTGACTCTCGGACAGACCACAAGGTTTGGAAGTCAGATACCAACTAAGCCCTGTTAAAAACCTTCTGCATTCTTCAAGTAGGGGACTGATTGTGAATCTGTATGGGTCCTTGGGTAGTTTGCCCTTCAGGCTTTCAGGTGCTGAGAGGTGCTTTAGACTCACAGGATGATCCCTTACCTCTGGCACTCTCTTCATCTGCTCCCTCTCTTCTTTCCTGTGCTACCCCACATACAAATGCACTTTCCACATTCCCTTTAGGGTTCCTCTCACACCTGGACCCCTTGCTCCAGTCCTTGTGTCAGCTTGGTTTCTGGAGCTTTGTTCCTTCCCGGCCACCACTCTCCTCCAAAAACTCCACTGTCCTTGGTACCTGGTACCTCTCAGCATTTCCCCTCTCCAGAGAGACTATCTGACCTGCTAGGTCAACTGGGGCTAGCTTTGACCATCCCTTACTCAGATAGGGATCTATGTCTCCAGTTTTGCACATGCACGCCTAATACTTCTCCGAATATTTACTCCTGTGTTTCTCGTACCTTTTTCTGGCACCCCCATTGTGGGATGCGCTGATGACCTCCTGTGTAGAAAGAAGATATTATAGACTCTAGTTGAAGGGCCTAACGCCTGCATGATCTGCCCACATCTGGCATTGTCGGGTTTTACTGTTGGAAAACTTCTGTCATCTATAGGTGAGGGTAACCACCACAGTTTTTCACTACAAAGGTCAACAGCATGTTTGCCTTCTGGGCCCTCGTCATCAGACAGAAACTTACCCCCCTCACCTCCTTTGCAGGAGCATAAGGCATTGGGGGGACTCTCCTCTCAGAGACATCTTCCTTCTCTGCTCTGTCTATTTTTAGTTCCTGAACACTCTAACATGTCTGCCACTATGGACCAGGTAGTCTCTGGTGTGACCACTAAGCCTACCCATCAGGTGGATGGTAAGGATTATTCTCCCCATATCCAGGTAGTTTTTCTCATTGGAGAATCTTTATCTCTGGGTCTGCTTTCCGGTCTTCCAGAACGAGTGGTTCCCTCTACATCGCGGGACCCCTTGGGCAGGTCTCCTGGTTCAGACTACTGATGTGTCTTATAACTGAGAAGGGATGGGAGTCCTTCATGCATTGCATGGTCCTTGCACTTGATGATACAGTGAGTCTTAGTCTCACACACACTGATTCCTTTATGGGTAATCCCTTGGAAACCAGTTCACCTCATCTGGTAGCCTCTGGATTCAGAGGAGAGGCTCATGCTTCTAAGTGTGCCATAGACAGTGGCAGGTCAAGTTTGGCAGAGGAGGACCCCATTTCTCCCTGGACTATTGGCAGGAGGAGCACTCCTGCTACAGGTATGCTTTGGCAGAGAATCGGGGGAACCTGTCCACCTGTGGGTTAGGTCTCCCCACCTTGCCTGATTCACAAGCTATTGAGTAAGGGCTTTCTGTGCTTCCCTAGTTTTTGCCTTCAAACATGTGAATTTTCTTAACTCTACTGATAAAGATTCCTGTTCCTTGCTTTGCTGAAGTCCGGGGCATCAGTAGCATTTCAGGCCTATGGCTTTGAGGCCAGGGATAGGAAGGATTGTTTCTCAGCAGGATTCCTCTAAGATTGCCCCAGAGTCGCCTCTTGTGTACTGCAGAGGATGTTTCTGCATCATGCAAAGCTCTATCTGGTTGTTCCAATCTTATTAGTTTAGGGCTAGGGTCTACTTACCATGCTCTACCTACAGTTATGAAGGTGCTCACCTTACACTCTACCCCTTCAGTAGTGATGTCTCTGTGGGTTCAAATTCCAAAGTTCCCTGTGGATTTAGGAGTCACTTTAAACCCTTTGCAGGCTGTTGTATACTAGCTGATTCAGGGTTTTGATAGTGGTCAACTTGACAGGAAATTGGGGAAATCTTCCCAAAGGAGATAGAAAACTGAAAGATACACTTTTTTTCTCCACAAAACAAAATCCACTAAATCTGTTACATATTACTCACATAGCTAGAATGTCAAAAATGGAAGTAGCAGAGCAGTCTATGCATTGTTTATGCTAAATGGCGCTTTGTCAAGAATAAGTTGTATAGTACCCAGTGCACCCTTATATACCCACAGTCCCAGGATATCATACCCAATATAAGTAATCAATACTAAAGAGTTGGTCCAAGCAAAAAAGCAGTAAATGCAATCACTATAATCCAGCCAGTGTGCTAGTAGTGCAGCTCAAACATTACACTGCCAGGGTATACTCATCAAAACCTTCCTAAAAGTGGGATATCCCCTAAATGAGGGGAGAATATTACAAATGTTTTAACAGTTACCCACACTGTTCAAAATAGGGATGTTGTCACGTTCCTGTCTGATCAGCTCCTGTTCGGGGTTTCAACCCGGGTCTCTGGCATGGAAGTGCACAGACCTAGCCATTTAGCCACAGGAAGTACTTGGCTTCTGCTGCAGGTTTTGTGTACTGAGCAACTCTCCTTATGGAAACTTTGGCACCAGCTGTAGAAGATCTGTAATTACCTCAGGTTTTAAATACCAGCCACTTCCTGTGCTCTAACACTGTTAATTTGGGTTAGTTCCCTGTGTGAGCTGCATTTATACTGTGACTCTTGCCTGATTCCTGACTATTCTGCCTGCCGATTTTGTACCTTGCTGCCCGATCGTGTCAAGACCACAGCCTGCCTCCTGACTACTCTCCTGAATCCCGATTTTTGTACCTTGCTGCCAGACTGTTGCCGACCCTGCCTGCTTGACCATGTCTTCGCCCTTTTCTCAGCCTAAGATCCACTTCGGACTCAGCCTACTACAGGTGCGTTTCAGATGTTCAGATACCAGTATATGTATCGGTGCAGATACTTTGCATTTTCACAAAAACTACCAGGGTCGGAGCGGTTGCAGCTGCGACCTAGTGCTCCACCACTTTCCAGAAATCATTGGTCTGTATTGTTTAAAACTCACATGACACTAAACAAAAAGCTATCAGTAATTGGTATCGGTAAGTACTTGGACAAGTATAGGTACTTGATCTGGAAAAAATGGTATCAGTGCATCCTTAATATATATAACGAATCATACATTAAAACAGGGATGCAAAATACCAGAAGCCCCATAGCCAGTTCTCAGCTGCCTTTTAACATTTGAGTTTTTCTTGTCTTTCAATGGAGCTGGAAAAAGTATCAGTACTTGTGCCAAGTACAGGACTTGGTACCTGAACATCCCTAGTTCAAAGCTTTTTTTTAAAAATGACTTGAGTTCCACTTTAACGTTTTCTTACCTTTAATTGCAGTTACCACTGCATCAGGTAACCGCAATGGTTTCTCCATAGTAGTGTTGTTATGAGCAATTCTTTGCCCGGTGGCTGAAGATCGTGCCAAGGTTTCTCGAGAGAAGAAGTAATCAAGCAGGCGCCTAGTCATCAGCTTGGGCTTATCTGGAGGGATGTGGGAGAGATCCTCCAGCTGCTGGTATGTGATATACACCCCAGAGGCAGGAACCAACTCCAATTTCGGGCGGCCATTACTCTAAACACAGAAAATCAAGACAAATAATAGTGATATATTTTACATCTGTAATACACAGTTTACCCTAGGGAGCACAAGACACTTATACAAACCTCTATGGGTGATGCCCATGTAGGGGTACCATCTGGCAATGTCTCCTGTAATGGTTCCTCCCACAGCGCACAAGATTCAGGTCCGGCATTCTCTCCACCATCATCCATCTTCATCCAGTACTGAAAGCCACTTGTCACGCCACTTACCCGCAGCATTCCTTCTGGAGGTGAGCTGGTCACTGCTGCAGGTGAGTTGGGCTGACCTGTCTCTGATAGAGAAAGTGTAACAGGGGAAGATAGTCTTTCCGTTGATGGGTGTTTGTTTTCATCAGTTGGGATAGGTGTTGACACCAATTGTGGAGTAGAACTCTGCAGAAAAGAAAGATTAAAAATATGTCAGTAAAACATGAAAAATCTACATTTAAAAGTAATATCAGGACAGAAATAATGGAACTTCTACTAGCTCCATCCATTCACCAAGTAACAAACCAAGAGAGCAGCATTGGAGCCTCCACCTTCAAAACCAAGTCAACAATGACAGCTCCCATATTTTTATTAACCTTTTTTACACTTTGTAGAATTAAATATATAAATAAATTATAATCACACGATATTTTGTTCAAAAGGAATATACATGGTGGCTGCTGTGGGTAGAGCAGGGTTATTAAGATGGTGACCAGTGCAGTGGTGACAGTAGTGGGGGGGCCTGCAGCTGTGGTCATGTGGGGATTGAGGGTCAGGCGTAGTGCAGATAGTGGGAGGGACTGTCTTGCATGTGCAGTTGTGCAAGTGGGCTGATAGTGGAGTGGTTCCTGGCTAAGTGTTGAGAGCGGAAGTGGGTGAGTGGGGTTGGGGATGGGGGGTGTGCGCTGTCAAAATGATTAAAAATGCAGTGTGGGGGGGTCAGGCTAGTACAGAGTAGCAAAACTTCCTCTTCCTGCCCTCCTCCACTACAGCAACAGGCATAGCTAGAGGTACTGCTAGAAATGCAACCCTCAGCTCCCTGGTGTCTGCCAACAATCCCTTTTACTCTTACCACTGCTAGCAATTCCCCTTGCAGATGCGCAGGATGTGGCTGTCATATTTCTGCCATCATAATATGGTGGCAAGAAGCCATGCTTGCACGATAGTGACAGAGCAGATCTGTCCTGCCCACTCAATGTGTTTCGTTTCGAGGAAGTCATATTAACGATAAACACAGGAGTTTCCCATCACACTTACCGGCTAGCCTGCAACAAAAACAAATTGCCCTGTCTTACAGTATGCGTTAAAAACAGAAGTTTTAGTTGCACAACTTTTGCAAAATATGTGGAAGCCTCACTGCCTCGTCAAGGCTCCTCTGTGTAGTGTGGTCCTAGCTCTAATTTTTGTGAGTCTCCATATTGGAGCATATCTAAGCAGTAGAAATTTGAATGCAGGTATGCCTGGAGGGAGCCCACTCCTTAAAAGCACAGGGACGCACTGGAGGCCCAGCAATCCAAAAGTCACGCTGGGACCCCCAGTGCATCCCCACACCAAATACAGCCAAGCTCCTCTCACGGGAGGAGCCTAGGAGTATCCAGAGAGTATCCAGAGCAACGGCAGTATCCAGAGCAACGGCAGTGCTGCAATCTGTATTTGGAAATGTTATCTGACTTACGTTTTTATTGTTTATGTTTGCGAGTACATTTTATCCTATTAAAATGTGAATGTGGTTTATGGAGTACACTATGGAGTTTTGCACTTTTGTCTCCACTTACTAAATTCGTTAAACTGAGTGGGAGCGCATCAAGTGTGTCACCATTGGAGATAATTACAAATACAAGCCACAGAGTGGAGGAGGATCTGTCCATTGCCAACATTGGGTTTCTTCCAGCCCTTTTATAATATCAGGTCGTTTCTGAAGGGGAGAGTTATTCTATTGGGAGTGGACGGTGAAAGTCACGAGGAGCACGGAGGATTTTGTTTTATCACTCGATCTGATACCCATATAAGATTGGGGTGCACAACTTTTATATTCTTGCACTATTGGTGTGTCAATCTAAAGTGGACTTTTCCTATGTTCATTGCATTTTATATGGAATTGTTACACCATTAATCATAGTGGACTTTTGGTAAGATTGATATATCTCTTGCAAATCAGCACTGTATCATCACAGTGTTATACATAATTATCGCGGAAGCATATTTAAACATTTAGGGGTATAAGCGCGACACAAATTTGATTTATTATAAAAAATACATGGCAAACGCACAAGTTATAACTAGCCTGTATAGCAAGGTGCAAACGGAAGGGCTTACAATACAAAACACAGGAGTTTCCTGGCACACTCACCGGCTAGCCTATAACAAAAAAAAATTGCCCTGCTGGCTTTACCTATACCTATAGTATTCATTTTTTATGATTTAATTAAGGATGCACCGATACCGGTTTTCCGGTATCGAGTACCGATATTTTTTTTTTTCTCCATTACACGCCAATACCGATAGTCCCAAAAAGGAATCCGGGTGGCGAGCCAGCTGTTTGGCCAATCAGGAAGCCGGGGGGCCGGTAATGACTCGCCACCCAGCTTTCCGATTAGCCAGGAAGCCGTCTCCATGCTCCCTCGTCACCAGGTGACGAGGAAGCATGGAGCCAGCTTTCTGGCCAATCAGGAAGCCAGGCGGTGTGTAATGACTCGCCACCTGGCTTCCTCATTGGCCAGCTTCCCGCCCAATCAGGAAGCCGGGCAGCGTGTAATGACCCCCCGCCCGGCTTCCGGATACCAGAAATTCCGGTATTTGGGCGAGTACTTTTTCCATCTGACCATAGGAAATCTGCAGAAAATCTATAAGTTTATGGCCAGCTTAAGAAGTTGCAAACATTTCTACAATTTTACTGACACATGCCAAAGTGGCAAAATTGGGCTAGGGGGGGTTTAGATTTGTTTTACCCTGCACCTTGAAGGGGTTAAAGTGATATCAAAGTCAAAAGTTTGTTAAGCCATTTCAAATGCTGACTTAATCACTTTCAATGGATGTTGCTCCTTAATGTTTAAACGTTTTTGGTTCCTGCAGAATCAGCTTGCCCTCTGAGCACTGGCCCTGATATCCTTCTTTACGGTGCCTCCTTTTCCTTGAGAGGCCTTTGGAGCCACCCTTGTGTGTGCTAGTAAGATATGTGTGTCTCCACAAACACAGCAGGCTAATCCAATTATCTGCTCCTCACTCCCTCTTCCCTTTTTCAAGCTTGTTAATGGACAGCTGCTGGAGACTGCTCTGTCCCTTGTGATCTTGTACTGGACAGGAAGTTCAGGGGAGCTGAGCTGAGAGAGTTGGAGTCAGCTGTTTGTAAATATGGCGACAGTAAGGGTTTAGGCGAAAATGGAAAAAAAAAAAACTTTGCCAGGCAATAAATATTTGTTTGATCTGGATTCATTATTAAAAAAAAAAAAGGTGGGGGTTTAATATAACTTTATTGGTGTTGCCCAATGCATGTTATCTGCAAATCTGGTGGTGGAGAACAAGCAGTATGTAGCTACTTTTAACCATCAAGGCAGACATTTGCTAAACTTTTTTACTGACTATTACCTGAGAACTGTAACTTGTTTCCAGAAATCCTGCCAGGCTTCTTAAGAAGGATATGTTATTGTCATTGATAACTGGTAAGACACAAGACATAGGAATAAAAGTTGTTAATACAAGTGGCTCTTTAACAACCCAAATTGATTTGTAATAAGGTAGAACAGGGGTGCCCATTAGGTCGATCGTGATCTACCAGTCAATCTCAAAGCGAACACTGGTAGATCGCGATCATCTGTATCCTGTCCTCCTGCGGTGCCCGTGCGGCTGCCAGCTGAATGTGTCAGACGCCGCAGACAGGAAGGGGCGGGACACCTCTCCACGTGTGCAACGTCGGCCACACGAACACTGCGGACAGGGTGCCGGTGCATGAGAGGAGACCTTGGATGCTGCTGCACTGGAGGTAAGAAAAGACAGACAGCAGAGAAAGTGAGAGGAAAGACAGCAGAGAAAGTGAGAGAAAAGACAGCAGAGAAAGTGAGAGGAAAGACAGCAGAGAGAGAGAAAAAAAAGACAGCAGAGAGAAACAGGGCAGAGAAGAGAGAGGGCTGGTTCACACCACAAAGTCTGCGTTCCAGAGTGTTCGGCCTCTAGAACGCAAGCCGGCCGGCTCCCTGCGTTCAGGGGCGGGAGGGGGCGTGGAGTTGCATTGAAGTCAATGGTACTGCAGCTACGCCCCCCACCCGCAGTGCGATCACCCGAACCCAGACAGCGGGATCACCCGAACCCAGACAGCGGTCGCAGGACGTGGCTGGGGTGCTATTGACTTCAATGCACAGCCACACCCCCTCCCGCCCCTGAATGCAGGTGTTTTTTCGTTGGTAGATCTCATTGAGCTCGTCATTTTGAAAAATAGATCTCCAGATGGAACATTGTGGGCATCCCTGAGGTAGAAGGTCTAGGTATATAGTATACTTCATTTTTACTTTCTACCAAGGTACCAAAGGCATTTTAAAAAATATAAACAAAGAAAATACTTTTGCATTTCCTCCCCTGCTAGTAATACGAATGTAAAAGGGAATTTATAGTGTTTATATTTTTATTATATTCAAGGCTAGAAAAAAATGTATATTTTACTTTTATTCTGCATACAAATATTTCATATTGAGAGATTCTAGCTAGTAGGTGGTATCCTTTTCACACGTGTACAACACTAATTCCATTTTGCAAAAAAAAAAAAATCAAATCCTTTATATTACATTCCTCAATAGCTCAAGCTTAAATATACACAACTGAATAAATCAGTGGAGAAATGTAAGCCCTGCTCCCTGCTATTAATATAATGCTTTGTGCTTCATTTCACATTACCCTTAGCCCTTGCAGTGCACCCACGAGGGTTCAAATGGTAAGCTTTTGTTTGCCTGGGGTTCTTCTTTAATATATAAATGTAAGCCTCCCATGTTCTTCATCAGCACTGTGGCATGACCCCGCTATACCCCCTAATTCCCCACTTCCCATACCCCCAGTCCAATGTTTTGAACCATTTCAGCTACAAGTGTTATATACACCCCAAAACATTAACAAAAGATATGCACAGGTATGTCTATGCCATTTTAAACTTTGTTTACACCACAAGTGTAGTTTAAAGAGAACCTGTCACCAACCTGGAAAATGTAACTAAGAGCACAGAAAAATCTTACCTTTCCATAAATATTTTTTATTCACTTGCAATGTGCCTTTGAATTTATTAGAACATTTGACTCGCCAATTCCCTAGTACAGCCTTTTCCCTTCTTGCATGTCATACACCTCTCCTCTTCTGCGAGTGCCTAATCACTTCACTCTTTGTGCTGACCCAGGTCCGCCACCCCTCCCTTCATCATTCTACAAAAACTCTTATATAGCTGCTGGGGAAGGATTAAAGGGAAATACTATTAAGCAGGGGTAGAAAAACTCCAGGCCCTTTAGTCGTGGTGAAACTAGAAATCCCATCATGCAACTCTCTGAGAAACATGGCTGTGGCTCTTGCAATGCCTAATGGGATTTGTAGTTCCACAGCTGTGAAGGGCCAGAATTTGCCTATCCCTGTTATAGAGTGTCACTTAGTGACAGTTCTAAGTCTGCTGGGGCTGCTGCCTTTATATCCAAGATGCCAGTACCCAGCAGTCATCTCAGAACCTTTGGATGTCTACACAAGGTAGGCTTGTACAGGTAAACAACGTGCATAAAATATGTTAAATGCACAAATAATCTGAAATGAATGATCCAGCAACAGGCACTTTTTAAATAAAATAGAATTAAGGACAAAACTTTTTTTTTTTAGTTTTGGATAGAGTAAGGCTCAGTTCACACCTAGGCGCTGCGGGAATCCACGTCAAATGCGCCAAAAAATGCACATTAGTAAAAAGCGCTTACTAGTTAATGTCACCCAGACGCGGCTGGGAGTAGGCGCATTCCTTCTCTGTGTTTGCATGTGTTAAAATGCGCACAAACGTTTAAGAAAAAAGTCACAGATTTTGCTACATGCACTACTTTTCTGCGCATATAGGAACCCATTGAAATCAATGGCAAATGTGGTGAACAAACATGTGTGAACGTGACATGTCTAGGTGTGAACAGAGCCATAAGGTGGGTTATATTTTTTTTATTTACCATTGGGGAGTGTTCCCTTTTTTTCCCTGTCTAATAGTCACAACGGGAAGTTAAAAGAAATCCCTCCAAAGTGAGGGAAATCCCACGTGGTTATCAGGGTCACCAGATCCATTGTCCCCATTGGAAGATTTTCCATCTATTCCTGTTGTGATGAGAACCCAAAATTTGGGACTTTCTTTAACTTTCACTCAGTGATTATGATCACCGGGACAAATAGACTGGCTGACATCGGAAACTGTTGAGGTTCCTTATTCAAAATGTTGGCATATCCTTTATCTTGATAAAACAGCATTCTTTGGAAATTATTGTTATGGGTCTAGCACTACTTACTTTAAAGCCTTGGTTCTCAACTGGTGGGTCATGACCCAAAAGTGGGACGCCACCTCTTGTTCAGTGGGTCGCCGCTTTTCCACTTTTCTAGGTGAGAGGCTTCTCAGCCTCCCCCTAGCCCAACAGTGTCAGTTCTCGCGCCAAGCAGCCATTTGAAATATGTGTCAGTTGGGGGTCGGCTGGAGCCGCAAGGGAGCTTCATCCATACATGCATTGCTTACAGCTCCCTCATGTGTCCTATAGAGGTGCCTGGACCAGAGTGAGGTCACATTCTGGTTCCTGGCACCTCTACAGGATGCGCAAGGGAGCTGTACAAGCAATGCACGCATGAAGAGAGCTCCATCACATCACAGCAGCCCACACTGGACCCCAGGCTGAGGATCCACTCCAGTTTCCGTATGGTAGGGAGACTGGGTGGATCTTAAAATTAAAAATAATTTTTGGGTGCGTGTACAGTATATGTGTGAGATTGTGAGTGTTTTTGAGGGCTCATTCACACTAGTACAGTGCTTTAATCGAACAGTCCTGTGCCATTAATGCATTGTACAATGCAATTGCACCTACTACACGTTCTGGTGCAGAAGGTGCGTTGCGTTGCCATTCATTTGAATGGCACCCCAAACGCACCTCCCGCCCACAGTTTAGTCGCCCACACCAGAACACGCTGTACCGCAATGCCGTGTGCTTCATTGCAGTGCGACTTGGGTCACGACTTAATGACCAAGGACAAATGTGGGTATTGAGGTTACACAGGTTGAGAACCACTGCTTTAAAGCATACTGGGGTAAACAGTGATCTATTATCTACAAATATATATTGTATGTACTGTATATATATAAAGCTATTAGCATTTTTAAATAAAGATGTACTTTTTTAACAAAAACTAGCAGTGTGTAGTAACGCTCTTGTAGCTCCTTATCTAAGGAAGCATTGCCAGTGTTTTTATAGGCATAGGTTCAGAACCTTTGTTATTTATTATTTTTGACTTATTATTCCTATACTGATTTCAAATATAGGCATACATTTTTTTGAACAACCAGCCCTGCCTGAGCTTTCTTGTTCCGTTACACAACTGTGGCTCTGATATATAAAAAAGGAAAAGTGTCTATTTTCCCCTCTTTGTGCAATCTTTAGTACATATAAAGAAATTCACATTACAAAAGGTACTTGGAGACATCTCACCCACACAGTTGCCATCAGATCCCAAGAGCCGTCCACCTTCTTTCGTAACACTTATATCGCTATGTGAGAGTGCATCATTCTGTTCTTCCAGTGTCTGAATGTGTCTCCTTAATTCTTGATTTTCCTTCTCAAGTTCCTGTATCCTCCATTCTCGCAAAGCAACTGCTTCATCTCGTGACACCAGGATCTGACGCAGATCTGAAACTTGTGTCTCCAGCTCCCGAACTAGCTCTGCGTAAAGGGAAGTCACCCTACTAGCAGACCGTGTGGCCCAGTAGTGTTCTGTTGGTATGCTGTGACCTTCAGGAGGCACTGTATCTCTGCTGGAGAATCGTTCATCAGTTCTCTGGCCTTCCTGTTTGGTAACATACATGTGTTGAGGAATTATGTTGGAACACAAAGGTCCATTAAAGACTTTTTGACGTTTCCTGCTAGTAGTGTCCTCGTCACAGTTCTGCATGACTAGTGTAGACAGAAATCTGAAACGTCATAACGCAAATGGGCATTTTCAGCGTAGAAAAATAATGATCAAAGCACAAAAAGCTAATACAACCAACAGGGTGTTTCCTAGGTCCGGGCATGCTTCACCCTTGATGCGCCAGGTCAACGACACCAACCCTGCACTTTGCTGCAATGTGCAGAGCCACAGGTCATGTCGCCAGCAGCTATGCAGGAGCACCTGCATAGTGGTAAAGTATCTGTGAAGACGTTAGTAGACAACTGGCACAGAGTGAAAGAATGTTCTCCCAGGCAACCCCTGCTTCTCATAACACAAAGGTGAGGGGAAGCCTGCGATGACTTCCTCTCCTCATGCGCCAGGCAAGTTTCTTTGCTGCACTTCCCTGCCTTCTGGGGAGGAATATTTGCTCATTAAAGAGTGAGGAAGGAAAAAGGTGTCTCAGAACTCATGATTAGCAAGGACTAGTCTCATTGTATCAGTATCTGTTCGCCTAGATACCCCATTTCCTTAATCCAGTATAATTTTCCTTTAAGTGGGCCATGCAATCCTTTGACTATTTAGGAATAGCACAAGCTCTTTCCTGTTGTATCCTATATAGTTCAGTTATTCTTTACTTTGCTCCTTTTGGAGATTGCACTCCATGGAAGTACACATGTTCTCCTAGTTTGGGAGCATTGCCTCTGTTCAAAGGCTTGCATGGCCTAAATTTACCCTCCCCCTCTAGATCATGTCACAACATTCATTTTCTTCTTTTACCTTGTTACTATAATGAAAAACAGCTTTTAGGCTTGTAAATGTCTTGCAAGGGCAGCTGCAAGCAAGGGGAGCATAGACATGCCACTTCATCTCCTAACAGACCTTTCCATACACACCCCACTGTAGGGAAGTAATAAAAAGTGTCGGAGGCAAATTTTCTCTCAACTTTGTCTCAAATGGAATTCAGCCAATCAGCTTTAAGATTTTCATTTTTTTGTGGAATAAATGAATGATAGAAGCTGATTAGTTGCTATAAGCAACTGTACCAGTTGAGACAGAACTTGACTTAGACACTTTTTAATTTCCCCCAGTGTGTGGGCAGGCGTTTGGGAACCAAGGCAGAAACCATTGATTTCCCCTCCACTCCAGCTATGGATTATCCCCAGCGTCCTTACGTCCAATTCAAGTCAATGGACCTGCATTAGATGAGATGGCGTCAGCGGTCCTTAGACCACTGAAGCCAAGGGGAGAAGAGGCTGCAGGAAACGATCCAGCAGTCTGTGGGGCAGAGGATCAGGTTTTATGTTCAGAATAGCTGTTCATATTGAGAATTTGCATTTAGTATTACTGTGTCACTGGTTTCAATGCATACAGTATTTAACAGAGTTTGTTGGGGGGTTTTTTGAGTCGGCTTAAAACTGTAAATGCCATAAAAAAGGAACTTGTTACTTACTTTGGCATGCGGATTGGCTTACTGACTCCATCTGGAGAACAGAGAACAGGTGCAGTGCCATCTGACTTGTCTTGCCTTTGTTCAGGTTCTGAAGTCCGATCCATCAACTTGGCTAAGAGTGGCTTTATTAAGAAAACACATGAGTGACCTACAAGGGATATTTACATTTTTATCAGCAAATGTGCATTGTTTGATGTGCTTGTGTACTGTTACAGTTTAAGGGTAATCTGCTTATATTTTGCCTTTCTTTGTGGCTACTCCCCCCTCCCCCCCAAATGCTAAGGGCGTTCCTAGTATAAAACTGTTCTGTCTTCATTCCATATCCAGTGATCTCATTACTGGGTCTCCTTGCTTCTCTATTAAAGGCTTGTAGATGATGGCTGGTGGGGAGGGTCTGGCAGGCTGCTATACATAGCTTCCTGAAAACATCACAGCACTCTGACTCAGTATCCTCTCAAGAGCCCTCAGCCTTGATGCAAGCAGTGAGCCCACTAGGAGCTCCCTGGCTCTTAAGAGGAGTTATGCAAATCTCAAAATGCATTGATGGGTAGGTGGAGTTGTAAATCATCACATTCTATTCACTGTGTATAGATGTGAAGATGCTGAGGAACATTCCAATGCTGCAGTGCAGGAAGACAGGAAGAGAGGCTTCAGGGCCCTGTCACACCATATGCAGTGTGTTTTGGCGCGGGCCGCACTAGATCACACAGATTAAGCCGGGCCGCGTTCTGGGAGGAAGCGTGGCGGTGCCATTCATGTCATTGGCACAGCAGACCCCGCCCCAGAACGCGAGGTATAGGAATGCGATCGGAAAAAATGCTACATGCACTTATGTGCACCAGAATGGAGGGCATTCCTGTACCCCGTGTTTTCCGGTGCAGGTGACTGCACGGGGCGTATCTGCAGTGCCATTGGCATGAATGGCACCGCCGCGCCCTCTCCCGCCCCAGAACGTGGCCCGGCTTGATCTATGTAATCCAGTGCATTCCGGGCTTGGAACGCACTGTATATGGTGTGACAGGGCCCTGAGAAACCGGAGAAGCAGGGAGCCGGCTCAGCTGTTTGGGTGTATAACTTTTTTTTTAGCACCTAGACAAAAATGAGTAGTTTATAAAAGTTTTGCCCAGAGTTCTTCTCTCTCTTTACATCTCCATTGTAACAGTCCCTGGGCTTATGGGGGAATTCACCCCTCATCCACCAAACTTGCTGGACTAGTGTATCCTGTGCCCGTTAGAATCCCCAAACACTGCCTGTAGCTGATTGAAGATCTCATCGGATTGGCTTCTTCGACAAAAGTCGATTGAAAAAAAGGTCTTTTTTTGGAATGAAGGGTTGATGACAAGGCCACACACTGCTCAAATTTGATTGAATTTGATTTGATTGAAATGGAACCCCAGACATATTAAATCAGTTTCTTTTGTGCCTAGCCAAACAGAAATAAGTAACAAGAAAGAAATTCCATCATGCTCCTTCTATTTACTGATCACTACCATTGAAAAGGAGCATTGATTAGACCCCGCTAACAAACATTTTGGAACTAAATTCTACTGGTGTCTGGCCAGCTTAAGAGACGTAAACCCAAACAATTGTTTTAGCTATACTTCTCTTTTTAGGCAAAATGTGACTGTGAAATAAAGTCGGTTGATAGTGGGCTGATGCCTCCTGTCAACCAACAGCACAGACACACCACAGTCAAGGATGATCCCAACAATACTGTCATCATCCTCCCCAGTTGTCTGATTGATAGCTGGCTCTACTTCTCAGCATGTAGCTCAGAGCCACAGCCAGCAGCACCCATTCCCTTCCCCACGTGTCACTCCAGTCAGGAACGCAAAGACTGAGAGCTCAGTGGTCATGTGATCAGTCAGCTCTCAGTCTTAGAGCCGGCATGGGACAGCTGGAGGTGAGTATGTGCATTTATTTATTTTTTCATGACGCCAAACTTCTTTAAAGCGGAACTCCGATATAGGCAAATATAGTCTAATTCCAAGAGCCATGTGTATTCTTATTTAAATCTTGGTGAGCCTTGTGTATTTCTTCCAGATCTCTGCCGTAATCCAGTGTGAAACGCTTCCTGTAATAAAGACCAGTCACTGATGCTCTCTTCTTGTGCAGGATGACTGGTCTTATATACACCATCCCCCTATTATTATTTATTTTCTACAAGCAGCCTGTAGTGGTGCATGCAAAGCGGATTTATACCCTTTGTGGCAACTGAGAAATATAATTAAATCAAAGGTTTTTATGTCTAGAGTTCAGCTTTATGTTTTCAGACCCCCCTGCCTGCCTTGACCATTGCAGTGGGGTCACACTGTCCTTACGGAATTGTGCGCTTATTTTCTACTGAGTAGATTGTAGAGCAGTGAGGCTTAAGCCCAGGTTTACACAGTAGGAATTTCAGCTGGATCCTGATGAACCGGCTGAATTGCGCACAGTGGGTGCCACTGTCAGCACCCTTCTGCCCGGCAACCCTTGATCAGCTGTTTCTTAGCCATACGGAACTAGCAGCCAATCACCTGCTAGCTCTGTTACAGTATTCTGACAGCGGACGCTCTCGGAATACAATGCAAATGTAAGCGTTGATGGAGGAATCTGTTTTATGCAGCCCGCAGGTTGAACAAAGAAAATATAAGCGTGTATACCCAGCTTTACTCTCTCACCTCTAGAATAGCGGTCATGGGTTGCGGAGTTGTATACACTATGGCAGAAATTCGATCATTGCAGTCACTAAAAAGATTGAAATCAGTGTTTCATTTTTCCAGCATGATTCCATAAATGAAATTCCCATCTGATCTCTGATCATTATTTTAGGAAGAGACATACTGGGGTTGATTCACTAAAGGCAAACAGGCTGTTCACTTTGCAAAGGGAATTTTCACCATATTCACTAAGCTAAAGCAAACTTCCCCTGCAAATTGAACAGCCTATTCACCAAAAATGAGCCAATCCCCAGGTTGCAGGTGTCAGATCTCAGTGCTGGGATGGTGCTGATTCATTTCTATGATGGAGATGAATCGACACTGACTAGGACTATTAGGGTACGTACAGCCAAGCCAACCCCACCATATTCTGCCCATTTTATCATTCACTCGGTTCTCTCACCTCCATGTGTCTGTTTACATTCCCCAGCTTCCGGATGTTCAGCCACGCCCCCTCCCTTTTACAGATGATCGTTGATTTGCTGCCCATGTCAGTGCCACCTATGCTGATTGGCTCATTTCACGCCAGGTGTGCCCTCCACTTCCTTATTATTTGTGGGTTTATTAAAAGCCCACCTACCGTCACGTGACTAACCTTTGGCATTGCTATTGGTCCGGTTCTTTCCCATTCCATGTTTCCATAGCAGGTGACGCCGGCTCCGCCCCGAACCGGTGACGTCAGACGGTGTAGCTCCATGTGGCGGGGGTTGGTGATATCGCTCCTGCAGGTAGCCCGGTACACTGGATCACAGTCAGCCCGAGCGGCCAGCTGCAGAACTGGAAGTGACGTCATGGACCTGGGAAGTATGCGGAAGCGTTACCGAAATGATGATGAGGTAAGAGGTTATGACCTTGGTCTGGTGACGTCAGCTGAGGCTCAGTAATATGATAAGGAAAAGCCTGTTGCTGTTCAGGTTTGTAGTACTGCAAGAATCTGTATGCCATGCCCAGTAACTGCGAGCAGCAGAAAATGCTGGGACTTGTAGTACCACAGCACCTGTGGAGTCAAAGGTGCCTACTCGGCTATGTGGGTGGTTTTTTTTCAAGCATCACTTGCATTTGGTCTTGTGACATACCACAGAGCAAGTGACGACATGGAGAAGAATCGATGCACCTGTCAGGAATATAAAATGGATACAGGGACTACCCCTCAAAAGAACATTGTAAATACTTCTTCCGCTGCCTGCACCACTGCGTTCTAGAGCAGAGCTGGGCAAACTCCAGATGTGGTGAAACTACAAATCCCATGATGCATCTGTCTCTGAAAGTCATGCCTGTGGCTGAGTATTTTGCAATGCCTCATGGGATTTGTAGGTCCACAACAGCTGGAGTTTGCCCACCCCTGGTATAGGGGAATTATTCACTGAAGTCACTTCCTGGAGTGTCAATTTTCTGGTTCCTCCTGCTCACCTCCACGTCAAAACTGTGTCCTGTAGTTACATGGAGGTCAGCAGGGGGGAGTCAGTAACCAATCAGCTTCTCTCTTCAGTTTGTTCAGCTAAGCTTTAGAAATAAAAGATAGAAGCTGATTGGTTGCCATGCACAGCTGCTCCAAATTTTGTCTGCTCCACTTGTGATAAATTCCCCTCGGAAAGGATTTGACCTCTTCAATGCTTTCCTGAAAGCATTACTCTCTAGGCCAGGGATGGGCATAATCCAGCCCTCCAGCTGTGGTGAATCTACAAATCCCATCATGCATCTGTCTCTGGGAGTCATTCCTCTGGCTGTGAGAATCTTGCAATGCCTCAAAGGATTTGTAGTTCCACAACAGCTGGAGGGCCGGAGTTTGCCCTCAAGGCAAATAAAAAAAGGATTCCAATCAGGACTCGGGGGTCTGTGCCAAAAATAGAAATCAAATGTAATATTGCTGCTGTTACCTGATTGACTAAATGTATCAGGAGCCATGATATGATTTCTATATAACTTATAACAGAGGGGAATCTGCAGCGCTGCTCATACTGTGAAACTGCATGTACATTGTTTATGTGTGAATGGAGCAAAAACAAATGTTATTAGTATATTGTCTTTCCAGGTCAAATGTAATTCACTCATAATAGGGATGCATGATGCCATTTTTTCCCAGACCGAGTACTGATACTTTTCCTCAAGTACTCGCTGATACCAATTACCTTTTCTTTGTTTTTAAGTGTCATGCGACACTTTTTTCTAAAAGAATACAGACTAATGATTTTAGGACAGTGGTGGAGCACTAGGGCCCAGCGGACACCCTGGGAGTTCTGCCACTGACTCCAAGCTGTAGGGCAGTGGTTCTCAACCTTTCTAGGGCCGGGACCCCTTGGTAACATTTGCCAAGTTGTGGTGACCCCCAACGGTAAAATTTAGGGTTGATGCGGCTGCTGCAGCGACATCTGGCGGCGTGGCGGGAGAACTGACACTGCTGCGCTAGGAGAGGGCTGAGGAGGACTCTCACCGAGCACAGCAGAAATCACACAGCGACCCACAGGTTGAGAACCACTGTTGTAACAGCTAAAATGGCAAACCATATAACACAAGCCGAGGGTGTCTGCTTTTATTATTATTATTAATAATAATGATGATAATCTAATAGTGGGAGACTCCCGGCGACCCCTGGCAAATTGTCATTCGACCCCCGAAGGGGTCCCGACCCACAGGTTGAGAACTGCTGCTGTAGAGGGACTACAAATCTTAGCAATACATTCTATAGCAAAGCAAAATACCACCAGCTATAGAGGGTTACAAATCCCTGCAATACATTATATAGCAAAGCAGCAAATGAGCAGTTATAGAGGACTACAAATCTCAGCAATCTATTATTTTAGGCTGTGCAGGATCTCACCATGACTGTGCGGTCTTACCAGTGCTGTGTCGGATCTGACCAGGGCTGGGTGGCAGGTCTCACCAGGGCTGTGTGGGCAGCGAGTCTCACCAGGGCTGTGCAGGCAGCTGGAAGGAGGAGGAGATGTATGGCTGGGCCAGCACTGTAAACAGCCACTGCCAGGTCCCTACAAGGTTTCCGTGAGGTCCCCAGCAAGCACGGGGACCTCATAGCAGCAAATTCCATTAAACAATTTCAAGCACCATTATCGGCGCTAAATATCTGGGTATTATACTCATGAAAATGCCCAGTGTCGATACTGGTATCGGTATCAGTGCATCCCTAACTAATAACATTTGTTTTTGCTCCATTCACACAGATCGAATCTACATGCAGTTTACCGGACGAATGGCTCTGCAAGTAGTAGCTGAGATTTGAGATTGAGACGGTGACATCACGGCCCCCACCCCCATTCCCAACCACAATCTACCAAAGAGTTGGCCTTTTGTTTGACAGCTCTTATGTCACTGTCTCTGCACTTTCCAGACACAAGCAAGGTCACTGGCAAGCTGAGAGGAATCAGCACAGGCACTAGAACTGGAAGGGGAGTCTGTTTTTTTGTCTGGAAAGTGCAGAGACAGTGAGATAAGAGCTGTCAGTCAAGAGGCCATTTTCCTTGCAGAACATGGTCGTGAATGTAGGGCCGTGCTGTCACCATCTGGATCTCAACTTCTGCTGCACATGGGAAGCATGGGAATAAAACACTTGGGCTTTAAATTTGCGTTCTTTGGTTTAATACTGGGACAGCCATTGCAAAGGGCCTTCTGAAGATGCCAGTTGGCTGCATGCAGATATATTTTTCAGTAGTTATCCATTTGAACTTAAATGAAACTAACAGAGTGCTAGCGTTGGACAGATTTAGTAGCAGGAAGTCCATTGTAAGCAGAAAAATTACTTCTTTTGGATTAGGATATTTTGTGATATATTTTTATTTATTTGAACTAATGTGAAATGAGTCGCAATATGTCTGTGAAGGTTCTCATTACTCCAGGTCATGGTATATCTGTAAAAAACTCAGACGTTTCACTGGTCATCCAACCAGCTTTGTCAAACAGAGAAAGCTGGTTGGATGACCAGTGAAACTTCTTCAAGAAAAATACAACAAGCCCTGTTGCCTTGACTTAGTTTTTTTTACAGATAATATAGGGCTGCAACAACTAATCGACTAAGTCGATTATAATCGATGATTGATAAAGTTGTCAACATTTTCAATCATCGACTAATTGGCTTTTGATTTGTTGGCCCTGTTCACGGCTCCACAAACGCCGCGTGCCGCACCTCCTCCCCACCTCACGCTCACCGCCCGCCCAAATCCATGAATGGCACAGGGACGCGGGGAGAAGAAGTAGAAGTAGTCAGGAGGAACAGGCATGGGAGGATGACAGCCACTAACAGACAGGCCCGATCTCGGAAGCAAGCTGCTGGAAGACTGCTCAGGTAAGCCTGCACTTCACCCCCCCTCCCCCCACGTGGTGCTCTATAATGTATTGCTGGGATTTGTATTCCTCTATAGCTGATGGTACATTGTGCTGTACTGTATATTATACAGAGCAAGGTACCATCAGCTATATAGGAATACAAATCCCAGCAATACATTATACACTGTATGTATAATGTATTGCTGGAATTTGTTGTATTCCTATATAGCTGGTGGTATTCTGCATTGCGCTGTATAGAGGACTACAAATCCCAGCAATAATACATTATGCAGCGCAATGCGGAATTCCACCAGCTATAGAGGAGCACAACAAATCCCAGCAATAGTACATTATACATCGCAATGCAGAATACCGCCAGCTATAGAGGACTACAAAACCCAGCAATAGTACATCATACAGTGCAATGCAGAATACCGCCAGCTATAATGTACTATTGCTGGGATTTTCTGTATTCCTCTATAGCTGGTAGTATTGTGCTGTGTAATGTACTTTTGCTGGGATTTGTAGTCCTCTATAGCCGGTGCCATTCTGCATTCATTGCTGTATAATTTTACACTTTCCATTTCACTATATTGCACACCACACTTTTTTTTTTTACTTCCACCGCTCCAAGCTTGCTCCTGTGATGGACTACAACCTCAATACAAACTAGTAGTCTATCACTGGAGCCATTTTTTAAAATCCTGGTTAATCGAACTTAATAATCGGCTAACTAATCGATTTTCAAAAATAATCGTTAGCTGCAGCTCTAAGAAAATGCTAAATGAAGTTTTCTAGCCCTTTTAAGGTGAAGTATTGGGAGAGTAAAATCTACTCTTCCCAGTACTTGGAACTGGTGCGAGACACTGCAGCTGTCACACGCTGGCTCTATAGATTGAGAGCTGAGCGATCACAAACCGCTGTCAGTCTGTCAGTCACTGCTCACCACAAAGATTCCCCCTCCCCTCTGATTGTCCAGTACTCATTGGAGGGACAGACAGAGGAGGAGGCGGGCAAAGCAGCCGGGAGAGAATCTGACAATATTGTTGGGATCCAGCCGGCTGCCTGATTGACAGCTGGCCCGTCATCTTTAGAACCAGAGCCAGCTGCCAATCGGGCAGCAGGGTGGATCCTGACAATATTGGGATCTCTTCAGGCTGCAGCATGGATCTGCGTTGTCAGCATACAGTATTAGGGGGCATTGGCCCCGCTATATGCTTAATTTTAGATTGTAAGCCCTCACGGGCAGGGTTCTCCTTACCATCTTGTCTTGAATTGTATTGTGATTGTAATGTCTTCCTTATATTGTAAAGCGCTGCGCAAACTGTTGGCGCTAAATAAATCCTGTATAATAATAATTTGGGTCACAGGAGTACATTAGTAAATGTCCTGTGACCCAGAAGAGAAGTAAAGCCCAAAAAAAAGGTTTGGCTTTGCAGCTCTTTTAAAATCCGATCATAAAAAAAAAAAAATTCCAGCTGGAGGATTTACTTAAAAGTATTTCTTTCTTAAGCTATAATGGGTCTAAACCTCATAATTTGTGTTCTTTGTAAGCAAATAA